TATTCCTCCCACTGACACCAATGATGGGGCACTATTCCTCCCACTGATACCAATGATGGGGCACTATTCCTCCCACTGACACCAATGATGGGGCACTATTCCTCCCACTGACACCAATGATGGGGCACTATTCCTCCCACCGACACCAATGATGGGGCACTATTCCTCCCACCGACACCAATGATGGGGCACTATTCCTCCCACCGACACCAATGATGGGGCACTAGATTCCTCCCACCGACACCAATGATGGGGCACTATTCCTCCCACTGACACCAATGATGGGACACTATTCCTCCCACTAATACCAATGATGGGGCACTATTCCTCCCACTGACGCCAATAATGGGGCACTATTCATCCCTCTGATACCAATGATGGGGCACTATTCTTCCCTCTGACACCAATGATGGGGCACTATTTCTCCTACTGATACCAATGATGGGGCACTATTCCTCCCACTGACAACAATGATGGGGCACTATTCCTCCCACTGACACCAATGATGGGGCACTATTCCTCCCACTGATACCAATGATGGGACACTATTCCACCACTGACACCAATGATGGGGCTCTATTTCTTCCCACTGACACCAATGACGGGGCACTATTCCTCCCACTGACACCAATGATGGGGTACTATTCCTTCTACTGATACCAATGATGGGGCACTATTCCTCCCACTGACACCAATGATGGGGCACTATTCCTCCCACTGACACCAATGATGGGGCACTATTCCTCCCACTGACACCAATGATGGGGCACTATTCCTCCTCCCTAGACACCAATGATGGGGCACTATTCCTCCCACTGACACCAATGATGAAGCACTATTTCTTCCACTGATACCAATGATGGGGCACTATTCCTCCCACTGACACCAATGATGGGGCACTATTCCCCCCACTGACACCAATGATGGGGCACTATTCCTCCCACTGATACCAATGATGGGGCACTATTCCTCCCACTGACACCAATGATGGGGCGCTATTCCTCCCACTGACACCAATGTTGGGGCGCTATTCCTCCCACTGACACCAACAATGGAGCACTATTCCCCTCACTGACACCCAACGATGGGGCACTATTCCTCCCACTTTCACCAATGCTGGGACACTATTCCGTTGGAGGAGGGATTGGGGGGATATGTGTTATGAAGAGGGATGGGAGTAGGAATTGTGCTAGGAAGGGTAATAAGGGAAAAAGAGGTGAAAATTTGCGCTGGAAGGGGAGATTTGGGGGGGGGGTGGGGAGAGGATGTGTGCTAGGAGAATGGATTGGGGGAGAAGATTTGAGGTAGGAGGAGGGATTGGAGGGATATGTGTTATGAGGAGGGATGGGGGGGTAGGAATTGTGCTAGGAAGGATAATCTTGATAAAAGGAGGATGAAGATGTGTGCTGGAAGGGGAGATTTGGGAGTGGGGAGAGGATTTGTGCTAGGAGAATGGATTGGGGGAGAAGATTTGTTCTAGGAGGAGGGATTGGGAGATTACGAGGAGGTATGGGGGGTAGGAACTGTGCTAAAATGGGTAATCTTGGAAAAGGGGAGTTAAGATTTGTGCTGGATGGGGAGATCTGGGAAGGCTTGTGCTAAAGAGGAAGGTTTGGGGGGAGGGATATGTGTTATGAGGAGGGATGGGGGTAGGAATTGTGCTAGGAAGGTGTGGAAAAGGGGAGAGCAGATTTGTGCTGGAAGGGGAGATTTTTTTTGGGGGGGGATTTGTGCTAAAGAGGAGGACTTGGGGGGATATGTATTACGAGGAGGGATGGGGGTAGAAATTGTGCTAGGAAGGGTAATCTTGGAAAGTGGGGTGAAGATTTGTGTGCTGGAAGGGGAGATCTGGGGGGGGGGGGATTTGAGTGCTAGGAGGGGGGGATTGAGGGAAGAAGATTTGTGCTAGAAGGAGGGATTGGGGGGAGAAGATTTGTGCTGGGAGGAGAGAGACTGGGGGACTATGTGTTGCAAGGAGGAATGGGGGTAGAAATTAGTGCTAGGAAGGGTAATCTTGGCAAAGGGGTGTGCAGATTTGTGCTGGAAGGGAGATTTATTTGGGGGGGGGGAAGGATTTATGCTAGGGGAAGAGATTGGGATAGAATATGTGTGCTAGGAGGAGGGATTGGAGGGGATATGTGCTAGGAGGAGGGATGGGGAGCGAGTGGTTGGGAGTGGTTATGGGAGGGGGGGAGAATCTTGCGCTAGGAAAGGTAATCTGGGGAAAGGGGGTGGGGATTTGCACTAGGGGGAGAATTGGGGGAGAGGATTTGTGCTATGAGGGGAGAGTTTTTTATTTGGGCAGGGATTTGTTCCTGGAGGGGAGAAATGGAGGGGGGAGTTGGAAGAGGGGATTGCCACAAGGCGGGGCCAAAGATTTGTGCTGGAGGGGGTATTTGTACTGGAAGGAGGGGAAAAAATAAAAAAAAAAAAAATAAAAAAAATATTAGAAAAAAAAGAAAGAAAAATAAAATATTAAAAATAAAAAAAAAATAAAAAAAAAATAAAAAAAAAAATAGAAAAAAAAAAAAAAATAAAAAAAAAAAATAAATTAAAATAAAATAAAAAAAATATATTATAAAAAAAAATAAAAAAAAAAAAATTAAAAAAAAAAAAAAATAAAAATTAAAAAAATAAAAAAAAAAAATATAAATAAAAAATAAATAAATAAAAAAAAAAAAAAAAAAAAATAAATTATAAAATAAAATAAAAAAAAAAAAAAAAAAAAAAATAAAAAAAATAAAAAAATAAAAAAAAAAATAAATAAAAAAAAAAAAAAAATAAAAAAAAAAAAAAAAAATAAAAAAATAAAAAAAAAAAAAAAAAAAAAAAAAAAAAAAAAAAATAAAAAATAAAAAAAAAAAAATAAAAAAAAAAAAAAAAAAAAAAGTTTGTTAGTACAATTGTAACCCTAAGAAGTATTCCTGGTTTTCCCAGCGATGAGATTCTGATGACTCCTCTTCTTCCTCTGTGTTCTCTGCAGCTGCTAGGAAAGTTCTGGGAAGAAGCATCAGCTGAATAAGAAGGAAATATCTGTCTATCCGTATTATCCGGAACTGGAGATGGTGCTTTATGGAGACGAAAAACCTCAAATACAACCACCAGAGCCGCTCACCTTCCCCGTAAGTCCGTACGTTTTGGAAGTCATCCTCATGAACAACCAGTTCAAAGAAGGCATGGAAAAAGCAATGAGGACTCATACATGTGAGATCAATGGCCAGATCTACTCTGCCCCAACCCCGTCATCACATTGTGCTTTCCTGAGGCCAAGTCTACTGATCCCGGGACATTGGCGAAGCTGGTACCGACATGGAAAGACAATGTCCATACAGAGTTCTCACGCCTCATATCAAAGTACAAAGTCAAAGAATATAAAAATGGATCAGTCGGTCTGGAACGCTGTTAAAGAACATGCCAGCAGCTCCACATATAACGGAGTTCTTCTCAAACCCGAGTTGGATTCAGGTCAAGTCTTCTTAGCGGGAATGGTAAAGGACGTTACCAGGATTGATCCCACATTTCACACAACTGGTAGAGGAAACCTCTAAAGAGGTGGCAAGAAAGAGCCAAACCAAGACTGAGACTTTTCCCATGTCTCCAGCCCTCTATCAGATTATGTGTAACAGCGGCCTGAAGAAGAAGATCCTGGACCAAGTTCCAGAGCTGAGGATTGACTATGACGCGCAAAGAAAGGCGATCCTACTATCTGGACTAATGGAAGAAGTGCTCACCGCCAAATGTGAGCTATTCAAGATCAAACAAGAAATGAAAAGTAAATCCATCCAGATGAACCCGCACCTCGTCCAGTTCCTGATGTCCACCGATAATGGGGAGCTGTCCTCTCTGCTCTTTGTACGTCACAACATCAACGCAATGCTGGAAATTGAGGATGGCGCTGTTCAACTGACGGCCTGCTCAAAGAAAGACTTTACAGATGCCGAGGAACAGATGAACCAAGAACTCATTTGTAGAGACGTTTCAGTTGAAGAAAAGAGTATCCTGACGAGTCCAGAGTGGGGAAGTCTTCATTCACATCTGCTTGAGTCGTACAATATAGAGAAAATCACCGTCCTGATACTGGAATCCTATTCTGGAGAAGAGAACAGTGTGGCCATCGCCGGCCTGTCTTCAAATGTTCAACAATGTTACCAAAAAGTCAGGAAATTTCTAGAGGAAAACACTCCCATGGAAAAGCTCATTAAAGTCAAATCACTGCTGGTCATGCAGTTCCTCAAAGAAGAGAAGAAACAAGTGTTGGATGACCTGAAGAAAGATAACTTAAGTGTGGTAATCCGTAATAAAAATATACGCTTGAGAGGCCCAAAGACCTGCGTAGCTGAAGCCCACTCCCGTATTAGTGATGCCCTGGGTTCCCTCTGCTCTGACACACTGAACATTGATAAACCCGGAGCCAAGAAGTTCTGTTTGGGAAATGAAGACATTTATGTCACAATGGCGAAGAATAAATACAAATGCCTCATACGTTTGCAGAAGGAAGAGGAGGAAGAGATTGAAGAAGATGAACCTGAGGAAGTGGAAGGATCACAATGCCAAGTCAGTCATCCAAATGGAACGGTCATCTCCGTGCATAAAGATGACCTGTGCCGTCACAGAGCCGATGTCATCGTTAATGCAGCCAATGAGGATCTGAAGCACGTTGGTGGTCTGGCATTGGCTTTACTGAAAGCTGCAGTCCAAAACTACAAGACGATTCTGATCGGATTGTCAGGACAGAAGGACGATTGTCCGCTGGAGAGTCGGTAATAACGGACCCTGGTAGACTGCCATGTAAGCAGGTTATACATACAGTGGGGCCCAAATGGTACTCCGAATCACCTAGAAAGCGGGAGGATCTTCTACAGAAAGCCATAACCAGCAGCTTGGAGCTGGCTGAGGAGTACTTCCATACCTCCATCGCCATCCCAGCCATCAGCTCCGGTATATTTGGTTGTCCTGTAGATCAAAGCGCAGAGAATATTATCAAAGCCGTCAAAAAACACATGGACAACAAACCTAAAGGCAGATCTAGCCTTAAAGAAATTCGTCTGGTGGACAGTAACGTGGATACAGTACGAATCTTTGCCTCCACTTTGAAAAAGGAGTTTGGAGAGAAGGAAGCTGAACCCCCTCCGACATACAGAGTGAGAAGGATGGAGGAAAGGCCTGAACCCAGGGAGAGAGTCTATGAATCCAGAGTATCTGCTAATCAGCTGGTGACCAAAGAAAACTTCATCATCAAAGTTAGAGAAGGATTAATCCAAGAAGCTTCAGTAAGTACTCAAAACTTTGTGTCTAAATCTCTTTTAAATGTTTGGATGAAGTAAGGAATGTTTAAAATGTGTTTTTGGGTTTTTTTTTTGTTGTGATTGTCTGGGTCCTTTTAGGAAGAATTCACTTTACTTTCCCTTTGGACCACGTAACACTTTTTGTAGATTGACTTGTAGCAGATACAGCTGGGGGAGCAGGAAAGTTCATTATGGGATGCTTGGATTTATTTATCGGTGCATAGAACCCTGAGTCTTGTGGGCAGGGCTTAGGGCCCGTGTGGGGGACACTAGAACACTCATCAATTGCCTAGATCAGGGGTGGGCAAACTTTTTGACTTGAGGGCCGCAATGGGTTTTATATATTGGACCCGGGGGCCGGACCAAGAGTAGATGAATGATGTGTATGTGTCATCCATAGTAAGTATAGTAATATTCCCCCATATAGTAATTCATCCCCCATAGTAATTCATCATCCCCCATAGTAATTCATCCCCCATATAGTAATTCATCCCCCATAGTAATTTATCCCCCATATAGTAATTCATCCCCCATATAGTAATTCATCCCCCATAGTAATTCATCCCCCCTAGAAGTAATTCATCCCCCATATAGTAATTCATCCCCCATAGTAATTCATCCCCCATATAGTAATTCATCCCCCATAGTAATTCATATCCCCCATATAGTAATTCATCCCCCATAGTAATTCATCCCCCATAGTAATTCATCCCCCATATAGTAATTCATCCCCCATAGTAATTCATCATCCCCCATATAGTAATTCATCCCCTATAGTAATTCATCCCCCATATAGTAATTCATCCCCCATAGTAATTCATCCCCCATAGTAATTCATCCCCCATATAGTAATTCATCCCCCATATAGTAATTCATCCCCCATAGTAATTCATCCCCCATATAGTAATTCATCCCCCATAGTAATTCATCCCCCATAGTAATTCATCCCCCATATAGTAATTCATCCCCCATAGTAATTCATCCCCCATAGTAATTCATCCCCCATATAGTAATTCATCCCCCATATAGTAATTCATCACCCATATAGTAATTCATCCCCCATATAGTAATTCATCCCCCATAGTAATTCATCCCCCATATAGTAATTCATCCCCCATAGTAATTCATCCCCCATATAGTAATTCATCCCCCATAGTAATTCATCCCCCATATAGTAATTTCATCCCCCATAGTAATTCATCCCCCATATAGTAATTCATCCCCCCTATAGTAATTCATCCCCCATATAGTAATTCATCCCCCATATAGTAATTCATCCCCCCATATAGTAATTCATCCCCCATAGTAATTCATCCCCCATATAGTAATTCATCCCCCATAGTAATTCATCCCCCATATAGTAATTCATCCCCCATATAGTAATTCATTCCCCATATTAATTCATCCCCCATATTAAGTCCCCAAGTCCCCCCTGTGTCAATTCACTTACCTTTCTCCGTGCGTTCCTCTCGCCGTATTCCCGCGCCGTTCCGGTGTAGCATGAAAATCTGTCTCCTATGAGGATCTGTCCCCTTCGACGTATCTGCGCATGTGCCAGTTTCAGGCATCAGCAGCCGATCGCGACGATCTCCGGCACATGCGCAGATACGTCGAGGGGGGACAGATTTTCATGCTACACCGGTCTTCACGGCGGACTGTGAGAGGAGCCTAGCTCCGCGGGCCGGATTAAAAGGTCCGCCGGGCCATATACGGCCCGCGGGCCGTAGTTTGCCCACATCTGGCCTAGATTCTAGCAGGAGTTTGCTTCCATGTGAACATCAGCATTAAGGCCAACCCCACACTTAGAAGCGAGCCACCATGAGCACAGTTAACCCTCTAGCAACCCGAGGCTAACTGACCAATACTGTTACACTGAGCGCTACAAACACTACACCACAGTTAGAGACCACCAAACTTCCAGGTGCGCAGAATTAAGAAACCGGAGCTTCGGGGCCTGCACCGGCGTCCACCAACCCAGCAATACCTGTCACCTCACTCCCAGTAATGTGTTCACAGTTACCTATGGATACAGGAAATGAACCTCACTCTGTAACTATGTCCTCGCTCTCTCAGGGGCCCCCTACGTCATGACTCCCAGGTTAGGTCCTTAGGCACTCTGTGTGCAGGTCTGATCCCAAGTTACAGGGAGCCAGCAGCTACTGAAAGGGGCAAACGCAACACCCCTCCACTCCCAGAGTAACTGTCACCCAACACCAGTCACCCATTCCCTGGCTGGTTGTGACGGGAGTCACTTTGGGTGGGGGGCCCATGGAACACAGCTCACTTTGGAGAGGTGGAGAGACCCCTGCCTCAGCTCCCCATATCCCTCTTATGTGTAAGTCACCCTGTGCCTGTTAGGGATACAGGGTGATCTGTCCTAATATTGTGTAGACATGTCTAGGAGAGGAATAGGTGGGGTGGGGGGTTGTGCATTGTTTGGTGTTATGGTTGCATCCCATTGTTCTATTGTGCGTCTTGCTTGGGAGCGAACTATTATGGGATGTATGTGTTTGTGTGTATTAGCATAGTGGGGGGTGTCTCCAGCAGCCCTTCCCCCTGATGGGACTGTCTGTTGGTGTGAAGTTTGAATACCTGTGTCTCTTGTTACTAAGTGTAGATAGCCCCGCCCTGTGTCATTATGCAGGGAGGGGGGATTGCCCCTGAGTGTATAGATCTTGTATCTGTGTTCAAATAAACTAGTCTACTTCCTGGTTTACTTCAAATCTGTGGTGCCTGTTGTCGGTGTTCGGACGGGAAAGCGGTATTCTAAACGGAAGTACTCAGTGCAGGCTGGACGGTTCCGTTTCACTGGTTGGTTGCTATAAGTGGAGTTCCAGGCGTTAAAGTCAGCAGCTACAAAAACTGTATCTGCTGACTTTTAATAAACTCACACTTACCTGTCCCGGGGGACCAGTGGTGTGCTCACACCCGCAGTCCCTTCTCTCCTTCTGTCCGCCAGCATCTCAACTGTGGATCAAGGAAGGAATTTTTCCCCTGCAGGAGCAAATTGGATCGTGCTTTGCTGCATTTGTTTGCCTTCCACTGGATCAGCTGTGGGTGTCGGATTATAACTTTTTTTTTTAATGTTGAACTGGATGGACTTTTGTCTTTTTTCAGCCAGACTAACTATGTAACTACTGTATGTAAAGTTCGCCGCTGAGAATGAGCCGGAAATTGCGGCCCCCTCCTCGCTCCTGCAGTCTTCTGGGAACTTTCACAGGTCCCATAAGACTGCCGGGCCAATCAGTGGGCACCAGGCTGTGAAGCCGCAAACTGTCACAGCCTGGTGCCCACTGATTGGTCCAGCAGTTAGTCTGGCTGAAAAAAGACAAAAGTCCATCCAGTTCAACCATTAAAAAAAAAAAAAAAAAGTTATAATCCTACACCCACAGTTGATCCAGAGGAAGGTGAAAAAACCCAGCAAAGCATGACCCAATTTGCTCCTACAGGGGAAAAAAATTCCCCTTCCTGATCCCCCGGATCTGAGCCGGAAGTGGGAGCGGGTACCTGTCAAAACCAGGTACCCACGCCCCCCTCCCCCACAAAATATGCAAAATATGGCAGTGGAGAGAGGGGGTGGGAGGCAAATAAGTGGATCTTCCGCTTTTGAGTGGAACTGCGCTTTAAGCTATGATACATGTACGGTTGTCCCCAGCAATGGCCCACGCTGGACAGCAAACTACATGCTGGATTAAAATGTACTGTATCCATTGTAACCTACAGTCTCCATGTAGTGAGCCCTGTTCTCTGGATCCACCATGCAATACGCCACTTCAGAGGGAACATTCAGACCAGGCATTACACAGTTAATGGTAACATGACCGAGAGGAAAGGCAACCTACAGGAACAGTTCTTGTAAAGCGACTTCTCACAGTGAATTCCTGTACAAAGGTGCTTTCCTGCCCCAAAAGGTAATCATACCTGAATAACAGCAGAGAGTCCTGAGCGTCCATTAGAGGCAGAGCCCAGGATTGGCAATTGATCCACAAGAGGTAGCACAGGGTCCATACAGTCCATGTTTTGGCAAACATCCTTAAGGGTAGTAACAAGAAAAAGAGAGGAAGGCGCCTCTAAGTGCAGTATTGACAATTTATTTAGTAAACAATGGATAAATTTCACTTACAAGATAAATAGTTAAAAAGACTCATTGTGTGGTAATTAGAACCAGGTGGGACATCCAGCCGTCCAGCAGCAAAATCTGTCTACAGGATCAGGAAGTAGAGTCCAGGTTGTGCCTGTGCATCAAAATGAAGCTAGGAGAGCACAGTCGGATGTAGGAGGTGAAGGGGGCGGTAATGCATTTCGAGCATGCTCAGTAGGCTCCTTCTTCAGACCTCAAGTAAGTCCAAGATTGGTAGTGAAGGTTCCTCAGGCTCTCAGTCCCTCAGGGAGGCCCGAGAGCCCCCACCCCAGCTGGGGGCGCCGTCCAGCAGCTTAACAGCCTAACATCTTGTTAGTATTTCCAGCAGCAATTTCTTGCGTCACTGAAGGTCCCTTTTTTGTGGATCTGTGGAAAATGTGAGGAAAAACTAGCCAATCAATATCCACCACACATGAACATTTCACAGGAAAGACAGAGGACTTTGACCCAGATAAAACCGAAGAACATGAGTCAGCACAGAAAAAAAAAACATGAAAGCTTCTGTAGGTACCTGCGCCGATAGTGTGCCCTTACATCAAAGTCCCCACTTTCTTACTTCAGGGTCCCTATAGGAGTTCCTCCTTACGTGAGAGCCCCCATAAGAGTTCCCCATACTTTACAGACCCCATCAGAAGTTCCTTCTTACTTCAGGGTCTCCATCAAAGTCCTCCCTTATTTTCATACACTTTTTAGCATTGACACTCGGAGCCCCTGGAGAGCCCAGGAGCATAGCTGAAGCAGAATATGGAGGAGGAGCAGGTCTACATGGAGGAAGCACCATCCTCCCATTGCTTGGGCAGGCATATGATTGGTTGCTAGGATGCTGGCGATCCTAGCAACCATTGTTACAGTGACAGCACAGCAGAAGAACCTGCGCTGGAGACTGGAAGGAAAGTTG